TTTTTTTTTTTTTTTTTAAAGAGGAAATGTGTCTAAAGTACATCAGTGTTAACTCCCTGCCACAGGGAAGAAGGAAATACTTTAATAGTTAAAAAAAATGCTGAAAGCTCTGCAAAAGACTGAATGTAAAAATAAAAAGTGTACATAGTTGTAAAAAAACAAAAAAGGAGTTTTTAAACATGTTTATTTTCTATGCACTTTTTTTTATTTAAGTGATAGTTTAATTAATAAACATGTCAGGTTTATTGCTGCAGAGGGCTCTCTCCATTTCTTGTTGAGAACTGAGAAGCTGCTTCTTCTCTGGGACACTCCCCAGGCATGGGAGCCCCTGGCCAGCCCCGAGGAGTGCCAGGGTGTTCGGTGGCTCTGTGGTTCCCGTGTGGGGTCACCTTGGGCTGCTGTCCCAGGCGGTGGGGCCGCACACCCGCACTGGGATAGGATGAGCAGAGTGAAGCGGGGCCGGCACTCGTGAACATTAACCAGGCTGTGGCTGCTTGCTCGTGCACAGCACCATGGCCACGGCGAACGACAGGGCCATCCTGCAGACCATCTTTAACCCCAGCACCCCTTTTGGGGATATCCCAGGCTTGGATGAGGAGGAGGAGGATGTCCAGGATGAAGGTGAGTGATGCTGCACCAGGTTCTCGCTGGGATGGCTGCAGGGTCCCCAAGGGGCAGCCAAGCAGGCAGGGAAGGAGTCTCTGGAGGCGTGGAGCAGTGTCTGCTCGAGGCTGGAGCTCAGMACCTGCCCTGTGTCTGCTCCCTTCCTGGACGCGGAGTGTAGGGTAGCAGTTTCCCAGTCAAGGTCCCTTATTTACACTGTAATAGTGGAAGCTTTTCCGTTGGAGTTGCTGGATCAAGTCCGGGAGCTGGAGTTGCAGGGAGTTTCTGCGGCCGAGTCAGGAGACATAAACACGGCCCTGGAGCGGTTCAGTGAAGCCATTCGCCTGCTGCCCGAGCGTGCCTCGGGCTACAATAACCGGGCCCAGGCTCTACGGCTGCGCGGGGACGTGGCAGGTGAGCAGCGCCGCTGCAGGTTGTCCCCTGGTGTCCCCAAACCCCCACCAATGCCTCCCCTCCGTGCCAGGTGCCCTGCAGGACCTGGACGCCGCCATCCGCCTGAGCCGGGGCTGCGGCCGCGCCGCCTGCCAGAGCTTGGTGCAGCGGGGTCTGATCCACCGGCTGCAGGCGCGGGACGAGGATGCGCGGCGGGACTGGGAGCGGGCAGCGCGCCTGGGCAGCGCCTTCGCCCGACAGCAGCTGGTGCTSCTCAACCCCTACTCTGCGCTCTGCAACCAGATGCTCTGCGAGATGCTCGGGCGGCTGCGCAACCCCGATGGCACTGGAAGCAACTGAGACGGCCAGGAGCGAGTGGGCTGGGWGGATCCGCGCTCCCGAGGTGACCCAGGCAGACGTGTCCTGGCGGCCAGAGAAGGTCCACCTCGGGCGCCAAAGCTCCTGTTCCTCCTCCTGGCTAATAGCCAGGGACTGGAAGTACCAAAGCACCTCGCTGTGTTTGTCTCGCTCTGTCCCGCCCCCAATAAACCTCCCTGTTCCCGGCACCTGGGCTCTGCTTGTGGCATTGCGGGCATTGTGGTGCGATTCGCGAGCGCGCAAAGCCCCTGTGAGAGGGGTGGCCTGGTGGSTGCAAGGCTCGGCCCCGTTCCGTGAAGAGGGGAGGCTGGAGGCACGGGGACGCGCATCCCCTGTCCGGGCTGGGCGGTCTCTGAGCGCTATCGCAGGCAGCAGGGATTAATCCCGCGGCTGCGCGCAACAATCMCGCTCGGGGAAGGCGACGGCGAGGGCTCTGCGAGGGAGATGAGYGCTCGCAGCCGTGCTGGGGCCCGCCCCTGTGCCGCATGCACTGCCCTCTGCGTGCCGGGGCCCGGCGCAGAGCCGCACTGCAGACCGGGCTGGACACAGGAGTAGCGATGCTGCGGGTAAGGTGAAGCTGGGCCACATCCTCCGACCGTGCTGTGTGCTGCARCACCGGGCCCGGCGTGGTGGACGCGCCCACGTCCCTGCTCCAGCTGCCTCTCTSCTAGCGCTGAGCGCGGCTGATGTGCCATGAGGTGTCCCGGGGGCTGCCCGGGGRCCGCCCTTGCCCTCCTGCTGCTCCTGCTGCTCAGCCTCCTGGCGCTCTGCTCGGCAGGTGAGGCTGTGGCAGGGTCCGGTGCGTGACTCCGAGACRGGAGCCGTGCCGCAGCTCTGATGTGCCGCGGGCTCTCTGGCAGCACTGGGGGAACTGGACCCCACCATTGAGGCGCAGCCGCGAGCAGTGTGCACACTGCAGGACGGGGAGAGTCACGTCTTCACCTGCTGGGTTCCCCGGCCGCTCCCCGGTGCCACACTGGCCTGGTACCTCAACGGCCAGAAACAGGAATTGAACCTCTCGACTGCAGGCGCTGCCAACACCCTCACCCGCATCGCCCAGCACTCAAACCACCAGCTCAACTGCTCCGTGACCARCCCGACCTCCAGCGAGACCTACAACACCTCCATCCTCCTCAATGTGCAGTGTAAGGTCCGCGGTACCATCCTRCTCCACACCGGGATGTGGGGAGGGCGTGTGGGGCTCCTGTCTGGCTTGGGCAGAACTATAACCTGCATCCATCACAGCCATAGAAGGGCAGAATCTTGTCAGTCCTGTGCAAACAAGGTAGACAAGTGCTTCTAGACTCTGGTGAGACAAATCCTGCTCCCAGCTATGTTGCCCTCTCCCTCCTGCCCATCTCACTGCTTCTGTTTTCTACCCAGATAAACCAGAGATCCTGCAGGAMGGTGCCAGCTACCAGGAGGTCAAGGACACTGGCCTTCTCCTGGTGCTCTTTGTGCTGGTGCAAGCCAACCCACCTGCCAGCATCACTTGGGTGGACCAGGATGGACATGTGATGGCCGGTGCTTCCAAGTTTCTCCTCCTAGGTGCCACGAACTACCCAGGGCTGGCCAACCACTCTCTCCACATCCATCTCAGCTGCACAGGTCAAAACCTCTCCATCAGTGCAGCCAACAGTGTGGGCATCACCACTGCCTCCCTCCTGCCCACAGGTAGCTGTTGAGGGGTGGGCATGGTGCAGTGGCTGGGTGGAAGGGTGCTGAGGGGTCTGCRCTGCCTGTGCAGGTCTGCTGGATGCCCGTGTGGAGCTGCCTGTCCTGGGTGTTGCCATTGGAGCAGCCCTGGCTCTAGCTGCCCTGCTCAGCCTGGGCTCCTGTGCTGCCTGCCTGGCATGCCGCTTGCCCAAGCTCGTGCGAGGTGCGGGGCAAGCAGGAGGGAACAGCCCACCCAGCCAATGCTCCCATTGCAGCAGCTCTGAGCCCCCACAGCCCCAGGGCACACGCCTGCCCCACCAGACCCAGTCCTTGCCACCCAACCTGCGCTTCAGTGACCTTGCGCAGGGAGATGCAGGTAAAACCCTGATCTGCCAGTGCAGCAAGACACCCCAGGTCCTGCCTGGGTGAGGGATAGATGTCCTGGCTCGCATCCCTTTCCTTCCCTGCAGCTTTCCCTAAGGATGCAGGAGTCTGTGCAAGGGGAGAAGAGAGTGCCATGCTGGGACTGGAGAACTCCCTGGTCCTCAGTAAGCTTGGTAAGCGGAGCAGGTGGGTGACGGCCCCARAAGATGTGTTGTGGGACACTGAGCTCCATGGTTGCCCCAACAGGCAATGAATTCTTTGTCCTGCAGGTTTTGTCCAGCTCCCTATGTCTGGGCGCATCTACAAAGTTCCCAGCATGAGCAGTGATGAGATCTGGCTGTGAGCTGCAGTGTGGTGCCTGTGAGCCWGGGCTGCCTGGCACCAGCCATGTACCAACCCCTGGAGCTGCTCAGCCAAGGGTGCCAGGAAGGCTGTGATGGGCAGTAGGAGCTGAGCAGCCCTACGCTCTGTGATGCAGGGCTTGGGAGCTGCACTGGCAGCCAAAGCATGGTTTTATGTAGTCCATGAATTTTACCAATATTCTGTTACAATCAAAATGCATCAAAGCTKTTTATAGCCAGGCTCTAGCACTACAGTTCCTGCTGGGGTAAAGCCACATACCAGCTTTGCTTTAGCAGGTTTGTGACTTGCTTGCTGCATGATCCTCTCTGCCYTTGTTCCTGCTGCTGTGGCAAATGGGTGGGAAGTAAGCAGAGCATGGGCTGGGGAGAGCCGTCCCAACAACAATAAACTAAATTCAAGCATCTGTATGGTGCTGCACAGGTTATTTCTCTTTGGCAGGAGCTAAGGGACTTGAGAACAGGAAAGGGGGTTTATTAATAAGGAGGAGATTCAAGATCTCCAGGTCAGAGCTTACAACACCCTGAGCAGATCTGAGTGTTGTGTCTGAGCATGGAATTTATTCCTGTTTGCTCCAGCCCTTGTAGTGTATGCTCAAGGAGCCTCTGCTCAGCAACACCTGTGACACAGAAAGCCTGACACTGGCAAAGGCTGGTTTAATGGTGAACTCCTTGAGAACAAGTCAAAAATTGAGCCATTAGGTAGCTTTTGAAACAAATATGGTGAGTCAGGCCCTACTCCCTAACACAGAACAGCCCAGCAATGTCTCTAAGACCAGAGGGACTTCGGATTTTCTGTGTGACATCTCCCAACCTGTTCTGGGCATGCTCGGTGTCCAGTGGCAGACAGTGATCCAGGAGATAAGGCTTTAATGTCAAGCATCAATTAAAGCTCAACACCTCTGCCTCCGCTGCTTGTGACAGTGGGTTGGATGGTGGACTCCTGTCCGTCTGCCCATCAGTCAGGGGCTTGAAGTGCTGCAGAGAAAAGAACATGTTGATGCAAAGATTTGCCTCCTGTTGTTCAGAGCATGTGTGTCTGAACRCACCAGCCACATTGGCTCTGTGTGCTCAGCACTCATCCCAAGGAAATGCCTTGTGGCCTGTTGAACAGCATGGCACCCCAGGCTGGMGTGCAGGCCTAGCTCCCTGTGCCAGGCAGAGGCACCAGGAAGAGAAGCAGCTGATGTTCTCTGGGGCCCACCAGCTCTTTGCACACACCCACTGCACCACAAAGCCAAACGTGAAGGGAGCAGCTGTGCAGTGCTGCTAGCTGGGTGAGCAACCTGGCTGGAGCAGCGTACCTGCGAGTTCTTGAACTCCAAGAAGAGGGAGAAGAGGACATGCAGAGGCTGGATCCGGCTCTTGTATATAGGGATGTCCAGAATGGCTGTGGRCAAGATCAGAAGTGTGTGAGGGCATCTGGTCTGCACTGCCCCCACAGCATTGTTAGGGCCATCACCTGGGCCTCCACACACCAAAGACTGCAGAGCCCTGTAGTACAAGAGCCAACTTCCCACTGAAGCAGCAGGGAATGATCCCGACTGCTCAGGGCTGAGCCTGCAGCYAAAGCTCTTGCTGTCAGTGAGAGTGCCAGGCCAGCATCACACTGTCAGCAGCACAGGCTCCCCAGCTCACCACAGATCATGTCGATGTATTCGGCGAGGTCACAGCTCATCTCTGCCGTCGGAAGAGCCACCTGGAACAGATGGGATCTGTCAGATGTGCCCGCAGACAGCAATGGCCTGGGATCATACAGAGGCCACGGGGGCAGTGGCCAGGAATCCCAGCATTGGGCTGCTCCCCAGCTTCTGGYAAGGGTGGAGTCGTGGGGAGGAACAAGCCCAACAGGACTGGGCTGTAGCATGGAGCAGGCACCCAGCTTTCATGGCAGATGGTTTCTAAGACTACGCACTACACTAAGTACTGATCACCCAGACAACATACCTTTCCCAGGAGCTCCTCAAATTCCGGTGACCATTCCTGCATCAGRGTCTCAATGTCAGGCATTGGCCTGCCAGGGAAGAGAAGAACATCAACCTCAGGATCACACAGAACCTTCCACTGCCAGCATCAGAGCTCACCTGGAGTAATGGACGGTGGCAGGAGGTTTGCAGCGATGTAGTTCACTAATACTTTCAATCCAGCTCTCAATGGCTTTGGGGTTTTTTTCTGCATTCTCCAAACTCTTCACTTTTATCTGCTGCTAAAAAGACAAATACAAACCTGAAAGTGTTTCATGGTGTTTTGGGGCATTTTGGGAAACCTGCAYTCACTCCTGGTGAACCAGGCCTTCTCTCTTTCCCAGCTGCACTTTAGGATTTCTGCAGACAAAATGCTGTCTACAACTGGGCATGGACAGCCAAAAGGAAATAAAGCATCATCTGAAGTGAACAGATCCAGAGTTTGCATCAAGACTTGCCTGAAGCAAGGCTCAGATCCACTGCAGTTTAAAACCACGGTTTAAAGCAAAAGGTCTAGTTTTGCTGCTTTTAAAGTCAAGTTCTCAGTTGTTAGACTAAAATACCATGGTTTTACTCCAGAAAGTGTGCAGCAAGTATGACCTCCCWCTCCCTGACTCACTGTGATGTTGTGCTGCTTGGAGTTCTCTGTCAGCCAAAGGGAGAGCACAGTGGGATCCGACTGCTTGGTTGAGGGCTCATCCAGGACCAGCAGGCCAAGGTTGTCGGGTTTGCCATCAGGACGAGGAACCTGCAGGAAAAGAGAGCCTTATTCTCTCTGGAGTCCAGGGCAGGTTTGTACAGAGCCTCCCTGTGGACTCTCTCAGAYAAGCATGGGACTGCCTGAAAAGCACATGGTGTTGGAGAAGAAAAAGCCCAGCTTTTGCCCCAGGTTACCCAAGTGCTGTTTCAGAGGTGACCAAGCCACTGGTGTAGTTTTCCAGGTCTCTGCCCATCATGTCTGMCAGTGCAGGGAGAGCCCAGACCCCAGGCTGCACAGCCTGGCTGCCTACATGCTCTGACCGTGCATTCCACTTCGGTTTGTGGGGCAGGACAGAGAGAGGAACCTGAAGAAACTGTACCTTTAGGAATGCATCAATGTCTCCAACAGCAGGAATAAAGTCTGGAATAAAAGGCTGCARCTTGTGCTCAATCTCTATTGTTTTGGGAGTGTACCTGGAAAAAAAGCACAGTAACAGTGTGGGTGACTAGAAACTGTGCCGCAATAATTGACACAAAGAAGAGCCAAAGAGCAGACTAAAACCATTCCACTCACCTCCTGATGTATTCAAAGAGATCTTTGATTTCAGAAGACACTTGGAGGTAGTCAAAATCTGCTGGATTGAAGTCACTAAAAAAAGGGAGAGAGTAGTGGGAAAAGATTAATATGTGGCAGATTCTGTACAGGAGAAAGCAGGCCCCAGTTGGGGCAGACAAATGTGCGAAGCTGAACCACCAGACAGTAAGKCCTCTGGTAGACACTTCTTGCACAGGACAAGCACTATTGGGCCCCATTTTGCATYGGATCTGCTGGCCAAGAAATCACCTGAATGGTGGGATAGACACATGTGATCATTTAGTCCCATAAAGGGCTGTCAAAAGGGGGCTGAGTGCTCTGCACAAAGGCAGCCCTCACCCGTCCAACACGGCCCCGTGCTCCTCCGAGTCGTCCTCCGAGTCGCTTTCCGAGGAATCCTCCTCCGAGTCCTCATCGTCCTCGTCGTCATCCTCGCTGAGGGCGGCGGGGCCGGAGAGGTGTGCCGCTGCCTCCTTCGGGACAGGCGGACCGGGTTTGTCACGGGATATCGCGCAGTGTCACCGGGCCGGCCCCGCCCGCTCCGCTCCTACCTGCTCCCTGCCGCCGCTCCCGAGCTCGGCCGCTSCCACAGAGCCTCCGGGCCGCCGGGACTCCCGCAGGCGCTCCGCCCGCGGCGAGCGGGCCCCGGGCTCGGCCTCGGGCAGCTCCAGGCTCTCGTCGTACGGCTGGTTCTGCACGGGGCGCGGCTG